TTACTAATCCTAGGCTGACCCCTCCACAGGCTTAGATGCCTATAACCACATTTCACTGTGGCTCAACTTCTCTACAATATTCCATTCTGGGGTCCACTTCAGGTTTCATAAACGCCTAGTCCAAACAATCTGGCTGAACAGCCATTTGTGTATTTTACCCAAACTTTCATTCACATGTTTAGAGGGGATTCCGTGATAACCATTCTACAGGTATCATGAATAGGAGTCCAGGAACAATAGACCTCAGTAGCCAGACTACTGGCTCTGCAGTAGAAGACCTCTCCAGCGAAGCAATAAAATCTAGTAGCTATATTTCTTATTTCTTTCATTCATGCATCCATGCATTTATTTTAAAACCATTTATTGAGCTCTTATTTTATTGTGTCTGACTCTGATTGTATCCAATACATACAGAACAATGACTAACACATAGTGTGTTTTAATATGCATTTTTGCATTTATTACTCTTCTTTTAAAATTACTGGAGGTGCACTACACTAGAGAAGATCTAACCTGGGGTATGAGGATCCGAGGAAACTCATTCAAACAGAATGTGCTAGTTGAAGTGATACGGACAAGAACAAAACACTAATAAGTGAAGTTCGGGACTCGGCTGCCTGTGATGATCTAAATGAAATCTATTCCAGTAACATCGGGAAAAATAAGAAATGTAAACAGAAAATGTGAACACTAATTTGGAGAAGTCTCACCATGGGGAAGAAAGAAGAAATAGCTGTGGCTGAGAAAGTGAGGATGTGAGATTTTTATTTATTTTAGATTCCTAGGTCACTTCCCCCTTTTCCTTGAAGATTTTAAGCCCTGGATCACTGTCACTTTCCCCACACACCACTCCTGTTATAGATCTTAGTTATCTAATTTTCACATAAAATCAAATACTCAAATATTCTGCATTCTCAAATTACCTGTTCTTCATTCCTCCAATGATCTCAGCCCTTCATTCCATGGTCATATCTTTAATATTGCCATCACCAATAGTTTCTATTTCCACTCCAAATTCTGAAATCACAGACTCCTCTGCAAAATGGTTACTGTTTTAAGGCACTAAGTTTTGAGATGGTTTGTTACACAGTAATGGATAACTCAGATGCTGATAGAATTATGCCCCCATTCATTCCATCGAAATAGATCCCAGTGGGGATTTTTCACATTACTAATAAAACCTGCTATCTCTCTCAAAACAAACAAACAAACAAACAAACAAACAAACAAACAAACACATCTCCTGCTATAGAGAGTGAGAGGGAATAAATGGTCAGAACACCCCTAAAGAAAAAATTTAGTGCATACAACCAAAAATAATAATAAAGATAATGTATGATTAGGGTTCTTAGTTGTGAGTAACAGAGACTGACTATATGTGATTTAAGCTAAAAGGAAAAATATTGAAACAGTGGTAATTCTGGTCCTGCAGCCTATCACAGAATGGATGTCACGAGAACATCACTGCCATTTAGCGCTAGATGGCGCACTTTACTCGGCCAACACCATCAGCCAGGGCCCTGCTGATTCGCTGAGGCTGGAAATTGAGAGGTTGGTGCTTCTTCTGCCATTGAGAGAAAAAAAAATTTTTTTTTTCTGCTGACAAGCACTACATCAATCAGTTGATCAAGGTTAACAGCAATGGTGATAAGTCACGTTGATATATATATATATTTATATATACATAAATATATATATACCCTTGAGATGTGATGGAAATAGAAATTTATCTTTGTGATTGTCCTTCCCTAAACCCATAACATTAGTCTAATCATGAGAAAAACATCAAACAAATTCTAATATGTGGCCTTCCTATAAAATATATAACCAGTACTCCCCAAAACTGTGAAGGTCATCAAAAACAAGTCTGATAAGGGGCACCTGAGTGGCTCAGTAGGTTAAGCGTCTGACTTCGGCTCAGGTCATGATCTTGCGGATCTTTTTTTTTTTTTTTAAATGTTTTATTTATTTCTAGGAGAGAGAATCAGCGTGAGCAGGGGAGGGTCAGAGAGAGGGAGTCACAGACTCTGAAACAGGCTCCAGGCTCTGAGCTGGCAGTTAGCACAGAGCCCGACGCGGGGCTCGAACCCACGAACCGCGAGATCATGACCTAAGCAAAAGTCGGACACTTAACCGACTAAGCCACCCAGGCGCCCCATGATCTCATGGTTCTTGGGTTGAGCCCCGCATTGGGCTCTGTGCTGACAGCCAGCTCAGAGCCTGGAGCCTGTTTCTAATTCTGTGTCTCCCTCTCTCTCTGACCCTCCCCAGCTCACGCTGTCTCTCTCTCTCCCAGAAATTTAACAAAAAGTAAAAAAAATCAAAAAAAACCCAACATTAAAAAAACCAAGTCTGATAAACTGTCACAGCCAAGGAAGCCTAAGGAGACATGACAACTAAATGTAAAGTGGCATCCTGGATGGGATCCTATATCAGAAAAAGGATATAAGGGGAAAAGAAAGAAAAGAACAAAAAAGAAAATCCAAATGAAGTATGAATTTTAGTTAATAATAAGATCCCAATGCGGATTTTCTTATTTGTAACAAAAATACCACAATTATAATGGGAGATATCAATAATAAGGAAAAGTGAGTATATAGGAAATAAGGTACTTCTTAGTTTTTCTGCAAGTCTAAAACTGATATAAAAAGTAAAGTCTATTTGAAAAAAAAGAAAAGAAATCGTTTGCTGTCCTTGCTTTTTCATGTCACTGGCTCTTAATTCAGTCTAGACTGAGTGTATCTAATTGATTGGTCCAAGTTACATGCTATACCATAGCGGCAATAAAGCCAAAGAAAGTGAATTTCAGATATATTTGGCTTCTATGGAGGGAGATAGGCTGTAACTAGCACATGATTCACAGAAGACCATAAATATGGAAAAGGTACTCAAATGATCAGAAGTCAAAAATTGACAAATATCCATTATCCATAGCCTATGAAACCAAATCACCCCCACTAACGTCTTGACAACCTACAAATTCCAAACTGACCAGTATAACTCATAATGTACGTAACACAATATTCTGAGGACATGTAGAACACAGAATGTTGAGTAAAGAGATATAATAGCTTAGCATAGGGAATGCTTCTGTTGGGAATTGAGACACTCCTCATCTGATTATGTTTACTAACATATCCCCTATTGCTAGTACAATGTCTGTACTAACCACATATTATATCCTCAATAAAAATTTGTTGAATGAATATGTGGCCTAGGAAAGGTGTTGACTTAAGTTTTCTATGTATGCTGAATTAAATTCTAATTCAGAAGACCTGGCTTTCATAATGCTAGAAGAAAATGGAGTCTGTAGCAAACAACTATATACATCCTAAGGATCAAGTCCCAGTTAGCTTTACCTTTACAATAAAAGTCATATACTGCAAGAGCCCTTATAAGATTGTTCCATTAAAAAATACCCGCACCGGTGTCGCCTGAGTGGCTCAATCAGTTAAGTGACCGACTCTTGATTTCAGCTCAGGTCATGATCTCACAGCTGGTGGGTTAGAGCCCTGTGTCAGACTCTGCATTGCTAGTGCAGAGCCTGCTTGGGATACTCTCTCTCTCCCTCTATCTCTGTCTCTCAAAATAAATAAACTTAAAAAAATAAACTAAAAAAATCTTTAGTGAGGTGTCTGTAAACTGAAAATTGCCCTGTTCAATTAGAGAGCAGTGTCAGTGTTTCAAGTGGACCTCTGAAAGTACGTGGTCAGAAACCTCATATTTAGGAGAGGTATGAGAGGAGAATGGCTGGTCATTCTCCCTCCTACTTTGTGCTTTTCCCATTTCCCTGCTCTTTAATCAGCTATAGATCACATTCCAGCCTGTTTACTGACAATACTTACAAGTTAAAATTTTGATTTTGCCTAACCTATTTAATGTGACTTTTTTAAAGGTCAACCTCATTGCAAACAATTCATAGCACACACCATACCTCCAATCTTGGAAAGTGTCATTCAACAATTCTGTCATAACTTACTAATGGCCCTCTAAGTATTGAAACATTGAGTAAATAGCAGTGATACAAGTATGAAATGATTTGAGCTTGTAGCTTAGCTTTGCCAGATTTTAGTTTCAACAAATTGGGGAATGATAATCTCTACCTTATAGTGTTTTGGTGATGAGTGAGATGATATTTATAATTTGCTTATGATAGTAGTGAGCACAGAGGAGCTTGGCAAAAAATTTCTAATTCCCCTTTTGTTTTATTTTGGTCAACTCGTGGTCTAGATGTGAAGCTCCCTCTCTGCCGAGCTCTCTCTGATTTACTAGTTTGAGTTCTTCCTTTGGGGTTCAATCCTGGGCCCTTTCATTTTAGTATTTTCTCTTTTTTGTTCTCCCTTTCTACAATGTCATCCTCACTCCTGGTATCAACTATCATCTACCCAGAACTGACACAAATTTGACACCTCTAGCCCCAGACACCTCTAAGGTCTCCAGACTCCTAGGCCGGTGTGCCTATTTGATAGTTCTTTTTGGATGTCACAGAGTATCTCATACCCAACTCAGCCGAAATTGAACTCATGAACTTCCACAAGACTTTTTACTCGGTTGCAAAACAGAATGAATGAATGAGTGAATCAATAAAATGAGTGAAAATAATGTTATATACACATTGTTATCTTTTCGAAATTCTGTCACATTATTTGGTTCCACGCAAGTGGGGTTAGGGTAGTACGGAGAAGGTGAGGAAGACTTTGGGAACTTTTCCCGGATGGGATGGAGGAAGTGAAGAATGTTTGAAACGTCTTTCTCCCTGAGCTTCACCCTCACCTCCACCCTCCCATAGTAAGTCCGCGTCCATCCATTCATGGCCCTGGGGTTGGACGCAAGTCTACGGACGGGGCGGGGCCTGAGGAAGGGGGCGGGACTGGGAGAAGCCCCCAGTCTACTCTGCAGACTGGGGCCGCGGGGGCTGCTGGGGGCTCCTTCCAGGGCTAGTGCGCCTGCGTGCGCTGAGGGCGTGCGTTGACCTTTAGGAGACCCAGGGCGGGCGGCGGTGGCGTTTAACGGACGGGTGTGGTTACGGTTTCTTAGCTCTGGCGTGATTACCCATGCCGGCTCCGTCAGCCCGCTAGGCCAGCGACTTCTGTGACTCCTGTTGGAAGTGGCGCCTCGGTGTGAGTGAACAGAACGCCGGCTGGGAGCCGTGCCCACAGGTATCGCCGGTGTTAGCGGGCGACGGGGATGTGGGTGCGCGGAGTTGGGAATCCCGCTGGAGGGCGTTGGCTTGTGCACAGTTACGCGGATTCCCGCAGTCTCTGCGGGACCACCTGGAGGGGGTCACCGGTGGCGGGGAAGGCGTGGGCTGCGGAAGGAAGTCGGTGCGTGGGATAGTAGGCACGAGCAGCTTTTAGTGCAGCTCTCTCTTACAGTCTGTAACGGGGGCAATGTGCAGGCGCTTGACCTAGGGAAAGTGTCTTCATCAGTGGGCTAGGGAATGACTGGTATTGATTCCTCATGGAAGTACCGAGTGTGACTGGATCCATCGGCTGAAAAAGAAAATGGAGAAAACTTCATTCCAACTTGCCTTCTTTCTTAGTCTTCCCTGGCTCCTCCTCTGAAAAGTAAAACTTGAAGGCATCTTTCTTATTTCAGATGGTTCATTTGCAGACTGCTTTCTGTTCCTCTGCGCTAATCTCCAAAGCTGTTTCCTTCACCTCAAGCTGCTGCCCTACCTGAGGTTTAAAACATCTCTCTTCACCGACAAATACTGCTTTTCCTCCATAATTGGCACCTGTTCAATTTTTCTTCCGTGCTATATAATCCTTTGAACCGGTGTCACCTGGTTGTTTAACTCTGCGCCTTACTGAACCCTGCCTTCCAGTGGTAGTGGCTCACAGTTAACTCTTCATTCTGACTGCCACCATCGTCCTGAAAGGCGTCTGCTCAGTACTCTAGAGTTTAAACTTTAGCAGTTCTTGGCTTTGTTTATTCCCGTATTCATCGCTTACAGATCACTTAAACTTCTCGCAGTCACAGTCATACATACCTTGGACGTTCTGTCACCCAGATTGTTCCCTTTTGAAGTCTTAAATGCAAGCATGTCATCCTAAACATCTCTGCCCTCCTAGCTCTATAGTCATTGATACCCAATTATTTATTAATTTATTTAACCTATAAATTCCCAGTATATTTTGTTGCTTTTTCAAACTTTGAGTTGAATGCTTAATTTATCTCATTCTTGTTTAATTGTACATGTGAGGCTTTGACATTGTCTAACGTGGAGCTTGAGCTGTGCTCTGTAGATTTTGATGTGCACTGTTTTTGTCTTTGAGTTGTATTTTAGAAGCAAAGTTTAAATTTCAAATTAGTTGAGAATGTTTTTTGTCTGTGTTAAGTTCTAGCTTTCATTCTGATAATAAATGTAGTCTCTTCACTGGTAGATACTTTTTATTTATTGAGGAGTTTTTTTGTAGCCTGCTACATAGTAGCTTTTGCAAACATTTTCGTAAGTGCTTAAATAGAAACTACATCCTATCACACAAACCACATTTTTCATATCTACTATATTATTATTACTTAATTTTAGTTTATCTGTTAAGGATTAAGGATTTAGTTTATCTCTTAAGGATATAGCTTATCTGCTAAGGATTTGTTTGTTATGTCCTTGTTGATTTCATCTTTTGTTTTCAGAGGATTTTGCCATAAACATATTCCAGTTATGTTATTTGGTACATTTAATAAGTCATATTTCATTATAAGTTGTACCTTTAGTCATTTAAAGTTTCCTTTCTACTTTAATACATTTGTGCTTTTATTTTTTTAAGTTTTTATTTATTTATTTTGAGATAGAGAGCACACACTCGCAAGTGCTCCATGGAGGGGCAGAGAGAGAGGGAGAGAGATAGAGAATCCCAAGCAGGCTCTGCACCATGGGCACAGAACCTGATGGGGGCTTGAACTCATGAACTGGGAAATCATGCTCTGAGCTGAAACCAAATCAGAGGCTTAACCAACTGAGCCACCCAGACATCCTGTGGGCTTTTAATTCCTCATTTCCCTGTGTGTTGTTTACATTTTCTTGTTATGTTGTTAATCATCCCTTTATTTGTAACTTTGCTGTTTTTTTGTTTTGGATGTCTCTTGAGTGTTTATATAGTGAAAATTTTTACCTAGTATATTTAGCATTACAGTGGATATCCTTGTTATTCTTTCCACCTTTAATTCTTTAATTTTTGTGCTTCCTTGGTGTTTCGTTTTATATTTAACATTTTGCCTATGAACTTCCCACCTCCCCTGCCCTCGATGGCCTCCCTTTATGTTAATTTAAAAAGTATCTGGGCCTATAGTTTATTCTTTTGCTGGGAGTCCGTGATCCCTCTTAAGCACTTTGAAACTTTTGTTTTTTAATGAACCCGTGCTTTCCTTAAGCTTTAGAGAAGGCTTGTGTTGCGTCTCAAATATTCTTCCTTCAGTTGATCCACTTTGCCCTGTGTCCGGCAGACATATAAAGGGGATACTAAGGAACATATAAATGGTGTCAGTACATCTCTACAGAATGGAGAGTGGAGAGAAACAGTTTTTAAGAAACAGTGTAGAAAAGGCCACAACTGAAAATGTACTATGAGGTAACCACAGTGGAGGTGGAAACTGCCTATTTGTTTCACAAGCAGTTCCAACAGTGTGGGAGTGAGAATCAAAGAGAACATAGGAATCAAGCGTAACATCTATTTCAGTCATTTCCCCAACTTCCCATTTCCCTTCCCACTTATATAAAGAAGCACTTCAGCTTCAGTGCCTTACTCCCACAAAAAGTTCTTTCCTAAATAAATTCAATAAACATCTGAGGAGAACTAAGGCTTTTTTTTTTTTTTTTAAATTTTTTTTTTTAATGTTTTATTTATTTCTAGGAGAGAGAGAGAGACAGCGTGAGCAGGGGAGGGTCAGAGAGAGAGGGAGTCACAGACTGAAGCAGGCTCCAGGCTCTGAGCTGGCAGTCAGCACAGAGCCCGACGCGGGGCTCGAACCCACGAACCGCGAGATCATGACCTAAGCGAAAGTCGGCCGCTTAACCGTCTAAGCCACCCAGGTGCCCCGAGAACTAAGGCTTTTAATGTGGGTGTTGACTTTTCAAAGTAAAACCTTGCTTACTGAATTTGAGAATATAGTACAGAGAATTCCCATATACCCCATACCCGTTTTCCCTATTAGTAACAAATTAATATGGTACATTTTTTACAGTCAATGAAATAACATAGATATATTAACTAAAGTCCATATTTTATTCAGACCTCTTTAATTTTTACTTAATATCCTTCTTCTGACCCAGGATCCCATCCAGGATGCCACATTACGTTTAGTTATCATATCTCCTGAGGCTCCTCTTGGCTGTGGCAGTTTCTGAGACTTGTTTTTAATGACCTTTACAGATTTGAGGAGTACTGGTCAGGTATTTTATAGGAAGCCCATCTATTAGAATTTGTCTGTAAGAATTCTTCTCATGATTAGACTGGGGTTATGGGTTTGGAGAAAGAAAATCAGAGATAAAGTGCTATTTCTACCACATCATTTCAAAGGTACATACTATGAATGTGACCTGTCATTATTGGTGTTATCTTTGATCACTTTAGTGAGGTATTTTTTTTCAGGTTTCTCTACTATATAAATTTATTCTTTTTCCTTTTTCCTGTATATACTTTTTTGTAAGGAATTCACTATGCAGAGCCCAAACTCAAGGGAGAGAGTTCTGCTGTACCTCCTAGAGGACTGAATATCTACACAAATTATTTGGAATCTTCTGTATAGGGATTTGTCTATTCCACCCCATTTATTTATTGTTTGAGTCAGTTGTGTATATCGGTATAGCTTCTGGGTATTAATTTTATAGTTGGGTTATTTATTACTAATATTGTTCCAGCTTTGGCCATTGGGAACTCTTTTGCTTGACTCCTGTGTGCTTTTGATGTGCCCCAGTAAGTGTGCTTTTGTTTTTGACCTCTTACTTACTTTCTAGTACTTGAGATGCTCCAGGCTCATCTTTCATATTTCTTTCAGCAGCTTTTAGAATTAGTTATTTTTCCATGGAGCTCTGGTTCCTTTTATTGAAGTATGGTATTAGAAACTGAGACCTGGGAGCCAAGTGTTGTTGTTGGTCCTGGGATATCCTTGCTTCTACGGCAACTCAGCTGACAGAGCTAGGAAATATATGTGTGTATACTAATCCCTGTATATATAAATATCTATATATATTTCTGTATGTAACCACCTTTACTTGTATTAAGCTACACACAAGTTCATATTGATATCTCCAACTCTAATTCATTACCACTTGAGCCATTCTAGCTTTTTTCCTTTAATTATCTGAAAACTCCTACTCAGACATTAAGAAACCTGTTCTCACGATCTGCAGTACATTTACTTATTGTTCAGTTCCAATATACATACATAGCAGTATCAGAATGGTTAACCTATACCTTCATAGGAAAGAACTTTATCAAATAGAGTACAGTGCTATTGTATATTTTCTTCTTCAGTCCTCCAGATTCCACTCATTTCCGTTCTTCTATTTTTTTCTTCAGAAAGTCAATACGTATTCTAAAATGTTTTTATGCCTTGACTTTTCTCAGCATTGTGCATTTTTCCTTCTACTGCACTTTCTTATAATAGGCCTCCATATGTTGTTCTTTTTCTCCATATACTAATCTTTATTTGAATGTAGAATAATCTTTCAGGTAGACATTGCCAGTAGATGAGGTTAGGAAATACTTCTGTGAACAAACTTTTGGCCAGTCTGTAAGATCTGCTAACAAGCAGACATACACATGTATATATGAAAATCTACTGTGTTTTGTGGTTTTTTTCAAGTGGTTATTACATGGTTGCATTAAGATGCAATGGAGGGGTGCATCGTGGCTTAGTCAGTTGAGTGTGTGACTTCAGGTCAGGTCATGATCTTGCGGTTCATGAGTTCAGGCCTCACATTGGGCTGGCTGCTCTCTGGACACTTAAGGTTTTTTCATGTCTTGGCTATTGTAAACAGTGCTGCAATGAATATGAGAGTGCATATATCTTTCCCAGTTAGTGTTTTCGTTTTCATTGGATAAATACTGAGAAATGGAATTGCTGGATCATACAATAGTTATATTTAAATTTTTTAAGGAATGCCCATACTGTTTTCTGCAGTGGTGAAAACCAGAAATGTACGAGTTTCCTTTTC